CGGGGCGCTCGCTGCGCTGCGGCGGGGCGGAGACGCGGGCCGGTGGGCTGCCCGCCCGCACCGCCTCGGCGCCTTTGCGTGCGGCCTCCGGGCTTTCGGCCCGTGGTGACCCCGCTTGTGCACCCCTCGGCGAGCATGAACTGTGGCGCTGCCAGCCCTGAGACGCGGTCGTTCGGCGGTGTCCGTGCGGGCGCGGCCCAAGCGCTGGGGACGAGGAGACGAACAGGGCTGGCCGCCCCAGCCGCAGGGGCGCTCCCGTAGCTGAACGCTGTGCCTCGAGGAAATACCCAGGATGGTTCTCCCTCCGAGCCGTCTGATTTGTGCAAATACACCTTGGCTGTGGGGCAGATGTAGGAGCTCTCCAAGGTGTGCCTGACGCACCATCCACCGCCTTATTTTATCATTATTAATTATTGTTGTATTTAGTACAGGGTCTCGCTACACAGATCACATTCATAGTGTTTCTCCTGCTTGCAGCCTCCCAAGCGCTGCGATTACATTGCACGCCACCACGCCCAGTCTCAGCCACCTTATTTTAAAGGTTAATGTAAAGGACCAGGAGCCAGGAGCCAGGAGCCAGGCTGGCGAAGGATCGCAGCGAGCTCGAGGGCAGCCTGAAGTACTGGACTACGTAGTGAATTCGATGCCCACCTTAAGTACAAAGTGAGACTCGTCTCATAAAAAGAAAATAGTCCCTGCCCAGTAATGGTATTTATTGTCATAATAACATGCCTCCCGGGGCCAACTCGCTCGGGCCCCCTCCTGTCTCAGGAGTCTCAATAAATTTTCCCCACTCTTGACCTACAAAAAAAAAAGTGTGCCTCTGGTGTCTTCCAAAGTGTGGCCTCTCAAGGACAGCTCGTTTTGGGGCAGTACCTAGAACAGATCGTGAAACCTGCTAAGTGAGTGACCAGTGCTGCCGCTGGCCACCAGGGCGGCGAGGCGAGGAAGAGGAGAAGGAAGGATGGCAGTTGTCGTAGATTGAATAGTCTCCTCCCAATTCCTACCACCGCTAGCAACTGTGAGTGTGGCCTTATTTGGAAATAAGGTCGTTCATAAGGTAGATCCTAATCCAGCTTGATGTCCATAGATAAAGGGAAATTTGGACACAGCACCAGACCGGCACACAAAGAGAAAGCCACGTGAAGATCAAAGTTTCGGTGGGCTCGACGCTGAGGAACGGCAGGAGCCAGAGAGGCCCGGAGCGCATCCTTCCCAGACCTCCTAGGGAGCGGGCCTGCCGACACCCCACTGTGGGCTTCTGGCCTCCGAGGGACAGTGACCGCTTCTACACCACCCAATTTCGTGCACTGTGTGTGGCGGGCCCTAGCAAATTAGTAGCAAGTAGATTCAGTAAATTAGGAAGCCGACAAGTCTTTTGTCCCTCCACTTCTGTTGCCGTAGGAAATGGGTATCATCCTCTCTGTATTAAAATATTTTAAAACTTCGCATCTGAAGTACTGAACATGCGCTGCTGCTTTTCACTGTTGATGACAGGCTGCGCCACTCCGCCACTCGTGCGGAGGCTGTGGCATCCAGAGCCACGCCCTCACTTGGATTGCATCAGACTCAGTCCCTGGGGTTGTAATTTCAAAACTACATCGTTTGTGTTTCTAAGCACTGTGAAAGCAACCAGATTGTGTCTGAAGATAGGTGGGGTTTTGAGTATCCAGAGGAGATGAGGGAGGTATGTAGAATATTGATCTCTGTAGAGCTGACTTATGTTTGTGGATTGTTCATTCAAAATAGATGGATTTTTAAACCGACAGTTGTGTGGGGGTGTCTGTGCAAATTTCATGTAAGCATAAAAGTACTAATTATTGTAAGTGTCACTGCCATCTGCTGTATATTCCTCAACTACTAAAAATATTTCCATGACTGACCTCGAACCGGACCTTCTAACAAATCCACTATAGCAGTCCCAAGATCCTGTCACCTTCCAAACACGAGACATTCTGGGGACATTTTAGGTCTAAGTCATAATGTCCTGGGGTGGGTTCATGGCTGAGTGTAGCCAGGAGGTGGGGCCTAGTCAGGGCTGGATCACAGGAAGGTAGCCTGGAAGGGTGCGTTCCGTCTCTACCGCCTGCCTTCTCTCTTCTTCCTGGTGTGTGCAAGACCTCCGTGCCGCTCTCCCCTGACAATCCAAGCCCTTGCCACAGCTGACCTGACTTCCTGCCCTGCTCGCTGAGCTGGGTAGAGCTGGCCCGACTGAAACATGTTCCTGGCAGTAGAGGCGCCTGCCTTGCATACTTCAAAACTACCTGTGCATTGCGAGCAGGAGGCCCTAGTGCCTGGGATGGCTACTAGGCTGCTTGCTTCTGTGTGCTCCACTAGGACCCGGCACCCGCCTCCCTGACTGGTAGCATTGGAGGTGAGGGGCTTTTGTTTCAGAGAGAACCGTGGGTCGTCCCAAGCCCCTCCACTGCAGACTGTCCTCTCTTCGCTTTTCTTCGGCACCCTGTGTTGTAGTGCCGGGAGGGTCAGACTGCTACCCTCATCAGGGGGTTCGGCAACTGTAAACGTCTAGACTGACCCCTCTGACAGTTTAGGTAACTGACTGACGGGAGGGCAGCTTTCCCCTGCCAAGCCTCTGCCCTCCCACATCTGCCTTGGAGCCGGCAGACCATGGGCTGAGTCCTCTGAGAACCGCGGCGAGCCAAATTGGACCTCTCCTTCCTTCAGCCATGTGCTGGGTATTGTGTCCCAGCGATGACGAAGTCTGGGTGCGGTTTGTCCTCCCAGGATCCCTGTGTTTTAGCTGTGGCCCTCAGTGTGGTGATGGGAGCGGCGGGGAGCCAAGCGGAAGCTCGCAGGTCACTTCTGAGGCAGGGCCCTCGGAAGGGATCAGGGGACCCCTGCCCGCCTCTGGATTCCTGCTGGGCCTTGTGGTCTCTGTTCTTGAAGGTGCTCTCACCACACGGCTGCCCTCGGCCGCCCAGCCCTCCCTAGGTGCCAGAGAGTGGGGCTGCTGACCTCGGATCTCCAACCTCCATGGCTAGGAGATGCACAAGTCTCTTGTCGCTATTACTTCACATAGCTTATGTTTTGTTACAGTAATAAAAAGCAGACGAATACAAGGATCTTGACCAAGTGACCTAAGTTTTCATAGAATAACTCATCTATAAAATGAGGGGGCTAAACTAGATCATTTCTAAGTTTTATGTTATTCCCAAACTCTCAAAACACAGCTGTGCCCATGCTCGAAATATCTAAGCATTAGAGCCCTGTCAAGCATTCCTGTAGCTGCCATCCACGTTAGGGAAGTCAGTATCTCTGATTTCATGTGCACCCGTGACCAAGTAGGCCAGCCTCTAAGCCGGACGTTTTGCTCTGGACCCGGTCGTACGGAGAGGATTTCTAGTGTGTATCACCAACAGACCAAATCGTGAAGTAGACGACCCAGTTTGCCCCTTCAGTCTTGACATGATATAAACATTGGCTGAGTATATCCCAAACTAGCATCCTTGTGAGGACTGAAGCTAAATGTGTTAAAGGAGAATTACTTTTTAAGATAAGGTATGGGTCCTGCGGGAGGCTGTAATGAACACACGTCAAAGATTTCACCCAACAAGGAAACCCAGGAGCTGTCAGGGGTTATGAAGGGGGCCCGAAGAGCAGCTATGTGCGTGGGCCTTGCTACTCTGGCTTGTCCTCACCAAGACTCAGGTTGAGAGTTGGTCCCCAATGTAACAGTGCCGAGAGGTTCTAGCGCCTTTGAGAGTAACGAGGTTCGAGGGCTGCAGGCTCCTGAAGGCACTGAGGTAGCTCCCCTGAGAGTGGGCTGTTACGAAGCCAGGCTGCCTCTCACGTTGTCTCTCTGCGTGTCCACACCTGCGGGCCTCCCACCCAGCCACCATGTGGGGTCATCTGTGAGGCTGTAAGCCAGCGTGAGGCCCCTGTCAGATGTGCCTGGGTGACCTTGACTGCTTCTGCTCCAGAACTTCTGTTCTTTATAAATTATCCATTGTCAGTTATTATGTTATAGTAACAGAAAGCAGACTAGCACCGGCCATCAGGAATGTTAAGTTTGCTTAATATATGCAGAGCTGGCTTCTTCAGAGAGGAGGGGAAGAAGGGAAATCAATTGCCCTTTCACAGAACAAAATTTGCTTGCATATCCACGGGCCAAATTCATTTGCATTGCTGTCAGTTGTCTGCAATTTAGAGTTGTAAAATAGCCCAAGGACAGTGATTAGCAGAAAATAACCTGAAGAACACACTGTACAAGAGATTCAGTATCCCCCACCTTTTTTTCCACTTCAAAAATATTCTCAATTTTTGCCACCACCCCAAAGGGATCTTCATGTCTCAAAAAAGAGTTCCTTTTCCTCTCCCTCAGCTCCACTTTTCGTGTCACCAGTTGCCATCTGTGTCCTTTCTGTTGTTTACTTGATAATTGCCAGTCAGTTTATGCCCGAACCCACCCCAAATATGAGGTCCAGAAATTCTTGTCTGTCCTCTTCTTTATTGTATCATTACCACCTGCCACGCTGCCCGGTCCTCAGCTTCCAGTAAATTGTAGACTAGTGGTTGTAGCATCACTGCACTGCCTCCCACATCAGCCCCGCCCACTGCCTCTGAGCTCCAGCCTCTCCTTGCACCGCCTCCTCGGAGTCAGTCCTTTGTCATGGGCATGACGTTGAGCACTGTCAGCAGAGGGCATTGGAAGGAAGCTGCAGGTGGAGGGGGCTTCTCTTTCTAGTTCCAGCATGCTTCTGTTTCCATTTGCTGGCTCCTGCGCTGGTGGGGAGGGGACAGATAATGAGCTCACTTGTATGGGTCTTAGTGGTGTCCTTTCTGGATGGCTTCCCAGTGGGTATGCAGGCGCAGGCCACTGCATTCTGGGAAGGTGTTTCCTGTGGCCCGTCCCAGCCACGTTTTTGTGCTTGCCAGTTTTGGGCTGGTGACTGGACAGCTCTGGCTTAGAGCCACCCAGCCAGCTTCCTTATTACCCAAGGCCTGTGAAGGACCACCCTTAGAGGAGACCCCAGCACCTCCCATTCCAACTGGGTTCTTTCTTAGGGCTCCCTCAGTCTTCAGAATTTCTTCAAAGTTCTTTTCATCCCTTCTTAATCAACAGCTCTAATTTATATTTTCTGTAATACTGAGACTTGAATAGAGGGCCTCAACACTTTTAAATTTTTATTAATTTTTAATTGATTTTTTAAAAACATTAGGCTCTTACTTGTCTTTCAGTTGCTTAAGCTGGGCTCAACTTTCAATTCTCTTCCCTCAGCCTCCCTTAGCGCTGGCATGTACCAGCACGTAATTCTTTTTATTAACTACTCCATGGTGGATTTAATGAGTAATTTCTCTCTCCTACTATGGGACTGATGCAATCCGTAACTGACCGGTCCGCAAAGATGTGCTTACGAGCAGTTTTCTTGCTTGTTCTTGTCCTTTTCCTCAACTGAGTGCATTTAGAGAGTGTAAATAGTTACAAATGTGGTAATACAGTATTGTGAAATGTTAGCCAGTACCCACCATGGGTCTTTTTTTGTCCTGTGACCATCCTCATGCAGGTCACTGGGCGTGAGTCCTGTTACCTCAGTGGGGCAGCTACAGGACAAAGCAGTCCATGGTTTTCTTCAAAATTCAAGAGCCTGGGTCCAGAAGCAAATCTGGAAAGAGCTACAGCTTCCCACCTATTCAGCCAGCAGCCAACACAAGTTCTG